GATGTTGGCATTACATTTATGTATTATTACAGGATTAAGAAGATTGTGTTCCTGGGGAGTTCAGTGCAGTGGGCTGGCATATCTGCAGTGCTGTGTCTCAGTAGCAGAGCCTCCAACATGATCCATGGTACTGCACCCAAGGAGTGCTGCTGCTTGCAGACAGTTGCCGCAGGGCTCTTGGCAGTCTGGAGGAGCTGCGGAGCACACTGGGGGCTGGATTGGGAAGAGGTCACACGTTACCACCCTTAAAACTTGGTGGTTGTGGGGAAGCGAGCTGAGAGCGATGTTGGGTGTGAAGGACATGCTTTTGATTTCCCGTGATAAGTTGCTTAGAGAAAGTGGTGTTTCCCAATACATGCTGCTGAGTGTTTCCCTTTGTGAAATGCCTGTTGGTGTGTCCCCCTGGCTCTGGGTCACAGAGCTGCCTGCAGAGTGTTTTCAGTGGGACCCTGAGACAGAGCTGTGGTGCGCAGAGGAAGGTGAGCAGCTCTCAGGACAGCACAGAGCCGTGAGCCCAGGAACATGTGTGCTGTCCAAGGTCAGCGTCTTGGACCTCTTTCAACAGCAAGTCCAAAGAAAACCCTCAAACCTAGAGAGCCCAAGCTGGGTATTTTCATCCTCAGCCAGGATGGGACACAAGAAACATTTACCCTTGCTGTGCTTACCAGGACAGAGTTCAGAATATGGGAAGGCAAAGCCTGATTAAAGCAGGAGCATTGAAGATAGGAGTCAAAGAGCTGGTGTGTCCCTCCAGCCGTTGCTTCTTGTGTTTGTTCTCAAGGGTGGAGTTTCATAACTTTACTGCTGAATTGAAGGGTATGTAGCAATATTTAACAATGTTGGCTTGGTCAGGATAGATTGTATTGAGCCTTGGTGTCATATCCTGACTCTGAAACCAGATCCAGCTTGGTGAGAAATGTGGTAAGAAACACAACTTTCAGATTCTCAGATTTGAAAGTAATAATAATTCATAGCAGAGTTCCCACTATATGGCAAACGGTGTGGCAGCGTTAGTCCACAGTGTTCCAGTCTCACTGGGGACTAGTAGTTTGCATGGAATTACCGTACTGAAATGTTTTAGGTACTTTGTCTTCTAGCAGGAACCCCTCTCATTGTATTCAAAGATGGAAAGAATCTGCTCTCAGAAAACACCAATCCATTGAAAGGGAAACTTTTTACAGAAACAGATCTGTTCCAGAAAAGCTTGTTTATCTGGTCCAGGATGGAACTGGACCTGGGAAAACATTCCCAAGAAAGCCAGTAGTCTTGTCTGTCACCTTGGACATAGGTTTCTCCTTCAGTCTGTGTCCTGTGCCGATGGAAGCAGTAGGCTCTTGCTGGTCATCGGGTGAGTGCTGCTGCCTGTGCTTTCACGTGATTTTGGAAAGGTTCCACTTCTATTCTCAGGGATATGAATCTCAAAATCTTACATGTATTTTTTTTAGGACAGAATTTTTGTTTTCTGGCCAGCTGTATTTATACATTGAGAAATGCAAGTCCTTTGCCCTGTTTAAATAAGAGTTAATGAAAACCTTTAAATGGCTTGGCAGCCATACAGTCTGTGTCTTGGATACAATAGTCGGCTTGTGTTCAGTTAATGGACATCTGGGGCAGTTTCTAGGTTGTTGTCATACAGAAAGCCATTTCTGCGCATTTTGGTCTTACAGGAAAGGTTTAAATTAAGAGTGCTTCCCCCCTCAATAACTTTTCCCTTGAACAGAATCTTTATTTTATTCTGCGCCCAGTTATTGCTATTCTTCCCCAGCTTTCCTTTTCCAGGATTTTTTCCAGCAAGCAAAAGGAGTACAATTGCAAACATGCTCAAGACATCGCTAAACCACATGTGATTTAAAGAGGAAATTAGTATTTTGTTGAATGAATGATAGTAGATAAGCTCCTGCTTTGGAACTAAAGAGCTCTTCAGTTCCAAACTCCCTGCGGGCATCTCCTGCCCCAGGCAGGGTAGCTGCTAGGGGAGCTTATCATGTTAGGGACGCTGGAATGTTTTGATGATGAGCCAAAAGTGGGTGCTCTTTAAACATTATCTTCCTTTCCGGTGCCAGGGACCTGCTCGCTGGAGGAAAACACAGAGACACTTTGAATGTGAGGCTGGAATTTGGTTTTGATCTTGAGTTTGAATTGCAGTGTGATTGCCCCTGTGTTGTTGATTTGTGGCTGAAGTTTCCCCCAGGTCTGGACAAACCTGTTCAGGTAACTGGGAATGTTTTCATTCCCCTGGCCCACGCTGGGTGCTTGTGTGCCTCCAAAAGAGCCGTTTCTCAGCTGGAGCGGCACCAACTGTGGCATCAAAGGGCGCGGTTCGGATGTGCAGCTAATGGATTGGTGCCACCCTTCACCACAGCCAGAGGTTTCATTTGTGCCAAAGCTGAAGTACTGAGTGACAAACTTGTCACTGTTCAGCCAAACCATCTTCCAGCCTGCCAAGGCTTTGTAGTTTAATTACACTGAGGAGCTCTTTCATGTGTATGTGCATTGATGTAGTGATGCATGTCCCTTCTGACAGACCATCACCAAAACTGAAAGATTGTCAGCAGACTGTGGCTCTTCAGTTCCCCTAAAATTAACCATTGCTTTCAGCATTTGGGCTCTTTTGTATTGGTAAACAAAAACAGGACTGGAAACACTTTTGAAGAATTTATATTCAGACTAGTCAGTCGTTCATTTACAAGGGATGGAGAGAAGTGGTTCAGCTTAACTGAAGCATACTTCTACTGAGAGCTCTTACCCAAAAATAATTTGGCACAAGGAAATTATTCTAGTGCAGAGGTAAGGCATATTTGAACCACATATATCTTGGTTTTATCATCTGCTTGTTAATGATAGTACAGCAAAGTAATTTCACATTTCCTCCAAGTAAGTATTTATCTACCACATTCAAGATGAACATCAGATGGTGAAGTGCAAGTTGTGAATTTCCAGTAGGTTTGATCAAAACCAAGTTCCCCTTAAGCATTCTGAAATTTCTGTTTTAGTTTGAACTTGTGTAACTGTGTGTTTGCACGTGATGCATTCAAATCCTTAGGTACGAGTTGCATAGGTGAATTGTGGTGTCCAAAGTCACAGATGGAAAGCATTGGTTGCAATGTTTGCAAAAAAACCCCAAATTCCTACCTGCATGTACAATACATTCCTTTTACCTTTGTGTAGAACAGGGAGGTAATTATAGTTGGAGGCATACAAATAAGCAGGACAAGATTTAGTCATAAATGGAGGAGGGTTTCCCAGGGCAGCATACAGTTAGAGAATCTGATCATTTTATCCAGTTCTGGACATTCTTGCTGGATCAGTTTTCAACTTGAGAATTTTGCCTCAAGGGCTTTGTTTAGCAGTTGCACTTCAGGCTGGGAATGCCTGAGAAATGTTGTGGTATCAGCACCCGTAACTAAGCCTTAGCAAAGACAGCAACACAAGGGGTTTGTCTGCTATAAAGTGTATGTCCAACTCTGAGATACGGGAGGGCAGAAGTCATCCTTTTTTTTTTTTCCTTTTTTTTTTTTTTTTTTTTTTGAGATTTTGCCCAGTATTTATAACAGTACTTGGCCCTTTTAACTCTAGCAGATGAACCACAAGTGGTTGGGATACGTATTTTGGAAAGCTTTTACTAAGGCCGTGTGCTAACTCCAGCAGAATCTGGATACAACTTCTGCAAGCAGATGTTCCAATTGGCAGCGCTTCTGCCTCTCTATTAATACATGTCTCCTCTTTTTTTCCAGGATTCAAATCTTTCGATACACACTGACAATCCAGACCTGACACCATGTTTCCAGAATACCATCCTGGCGTGGATCCCTAGCATTTATCTGTGGAGTGCATTACCCTTTTATCTTCTCTACCTAAAGCACAACAAAAGAGGGTACATCATACTTTCTGTGCTGAGCAGGTTCAAGACGGTAAGAGCTTTTTGCAGCTTTGAGTTTGTTAGCGTTAGTTCAGTATCCAAGCAAGTGCTGCAGTAGGGTTTAAACGAAATCCCTCTGATTTATGAGGGAACTGAAGAACTTGCTTATAGGAAACAACAGTATATGTACAGATTTCTGAGGAAAAATATCAAGGGATAGCTCAACTAAGTAGGGAAATCCATCCTGCGAGCCCACCTTTCTGGGGAGAGAGAGGAGTTGATTCCTCTGCAGAAGAGAGTTCACCCCTTTGTTGAGCCAAAAACTGTGCTGCTTCACCCTTACTTAAGTTTCAAACCACTGAAAGCTGCAAAACAAAGATGGTAGGACTAGGAGAATTTAATCTCATCGTGAAAGTAACCACAAGAAGGTATTTTTTCAGCCCGCTCTGTCCACCCAATAGCTATGTGATTTCACCTGCATCTTGTGTTTAAGAGGTGGCTGGTGTCAGCAGCACCTCTGGTTCATAAATGGCCAGGTCTAAGGAGAGCAAGTCACTTGCCATAGGCCGTGAGAGAACCGACATTATTCCTGGAGAAAAGTTCTAGGCTTCTGCTTCAGGGCATGTCTGCCTTTAATCTGTAAGCTGCCTGTGTTTCCAGTCAAAACTGAATAGTGTGGGGAAAAAAAAAAAAAGATAATACATGAATCTTTCTGTTGGTTGTGTTTGCAAATCCCTCGGAAAGCGGTTGAGATGAGAACCTTGGTTTGAGTGCAGTGGGACAGTTGCGTTAGCCTGACTGCAGCTGATCCAGGCAGCAGTGTTGTTCTGTTTACACAGCTTCGTCTTACTGGAAATCAGTGAATCATAACAGTTTTGCTAGCCCTCTGACTGCCCCTGGAGATGAGTTTACCAAATGCTGTTTCTGTTTGACTGTTTTCAGCTGTTTGGTGTCCTGCTGTGGTGCGTGAGCTGGGCAGATCTCTTCTACTCTTTCCACGAGCTCCTGCAAAACAGAACGCCTCCACCAGTCTATTTTGTAACTCCATTGATCGTCGGCATCACTGTGGTTCGTAGCTGCTTCTGTTTATTGTGACCAATAAGTATAACTCTTCCTCGGACAGCTGAAGGAGGAGAAGGGTTCCTTTACATTTACTGCCTTATCCTGTACTCTTTTAGCTGAATGATTAGTACTTGTATTGCTGAAGCAGATTTTGCTTACCGAAAAGGCTACAGTTACAGATATCTCATGTAGACTCAGACATGTAAATGGAAATCTTTATAATGGAGAGATTGTTCTGCCTCCTGCCTTGCTCTCATTTGTTTCTCCAGGCTTGTGATCCAGGTGTGGAGAGAATTTGGGTATGACTTTGCCTAAACAGGGAGATACGATAGACCAGGGCTTGTGCGTTGTTCAGTGTTGCATTGGACTTGTAAAACTGTCTCTTATCTGGTGGTTGTTTCTCTGTTAAACAGAAACCAAATTTCCTTCACCTAGGATGACAATCAGGCTTGGGGCTGTTGTATGAAAAATGAAGCAGTAAAATTTAACCATTAAGTTTTTAATTCCCTTGGTTAGGTTTTTTAAAACCTTGAACAATCATGACTTGTCTAGAAAATGTCTGGACTGGAGAAATGACAGCTTTTACATTTCTTGAAAATGTTTGTAGCTAATATTTAATTGTGCCTAGCCCTAGGTACAATGTCTGGTTTAAAAACTGGATTCTGGAGCTGGGGCTCTGAAAGCAGTAAAAACAAATTATTTCATAAAGTTTTTCTCTGCTTTCGTTAGAGAAGGTTCTGCAGTTTGCTTCTGTGAAGTTATGATGGGGCCTTATTTCAAAGGGGTCGTGTTATCGATGATGACTGTAATAGCTGCCAGCTGAGAGTGTGAATAAGGGGAGCAGTGGGACGGGATTGTGTTCACATGTTCCTGTATTTCCTTTCCCCAGCTGTTAGCTACATTGCTTATCCAATACGAGAGGCTGAGAGGAGTTCAGTCCTCTGGAGTGCTCATTACCTTCTGGTTTTTGTCGGTGCTCTGTGCTGTGGGGCCTTTCCGGTCTAAGATCATGACTACAACTGCACAGGTAACACGCCAGCCTTGTTAGCACTTGGAGAACAGGGCATGTAGCATTAACATCTCTGTGAAGGCATGAATCACCAAGTTTGGAGTCAGATCTGAGCCCAGCTTTTGCCAGAGAGAAAGAGAAGCTTGGTTCTGTTGCATTGACTCAGACTTGTGCAGTGTCAAGATCAGATTTTGCTGAGCCCAAGGCCATACTGGAAACCTGATGGACGTGAGGGCTGTACCGACACTGTGTATATATCAGAACAGACTCTTTTTTTTTTTTCTTCTTTTTTTTTTTTTTCCCCTTTACAGCCCCCTTCTGCTGCCATGCTTTAATATGGATGGGTAGCAATCAGAGATGATGCATTTTGATATGTAATGTTCCTTTTTTTTTTTTTTTTTTTTGCTGAGGCAGCTTGGCCACGTTATACAGCTCCATAGGCTTCCTTTTGTCCATGCCTGCTGTGCTGCAGACAGCATTTTCACTCCAACTGGGGCTGTAAATAGAGAACAGAAAGTCGGAGGGAGAGGGAAGAAACCTGGGCTGTTAGGATTTCTGTTTGAAGACATAGCAGGTTCTCCCACAGTAAGGAAGTTGTTATGTTTTTCACAGAAGCAAATTTCACTAAGTAGGGCAAAGCAGATTGCTTCAGTGATTAGATCATCAAAGGCTAGGAGTGAAAGGGAATATTTGAAAAACATTAAGGTGATTGCTTCTCCTCAGTGAAATCGGTGTCGATTCTGTTTGGTGATTTCCTTTTTTTATATACTTACATTTTGTAACTGCTAGCAGCATTACCCTTTCAGCAAGGGCTTTGAGATAGCAGGGTGTTGTAAATATTCCAGCGGAGGCTGAATTAAACCTTAAATGACAGTCTGTGCAGAACTTCTTCAGAAAATAGCTGCAATCCTGCTGAGACCTTTCAAACACCACTTAAAGTCAATTTTGAAACTGTAGTAGTGGTGAATAAGTACAAATATTGGACTATCAGTGTTTGAATCCTTAATCAACTTAAAATTATGAGTACAGAGCCTTAGAATGAGCATGGGTAATGTTTCTGTTGTTCTAGCAACTGCCGAGGACCGAATATTCTTTCTCTTACACTTCAGGTTTAAACATTTTAAGTGAACAATGAGAACATCCCCAGCTACGTTAGGGTGTGAAAGAGATGTATAAGGGACGTACCCTCACAGCATGAAGTTCTAAGTCGGCTGCAGACACATATGAGTAGGAAAGAAAATTTCTCTAGAGCAGATGGAACTGTTATTATGCAATACAGTGGGGTTTTTTCAGCTTCTTCTGAAAGTATTTAACACTGACTGCTTGTCGGTGACAAGATACTAAAGTAAACGGATGTTCTCTGATCTGGGCTGACAACTCCTGTGCTTAAGACGTGATCTTGCCAGAACCCCTGGAGGTAATTTGAAAGGATGTCATGTAGCCCTGATTCCAGAGGGTATATGCGTGCAGTGAAGATGTGTAAGCACTTTAAACTTGACATAATTTAATGAAAAGCTTGGAGATAAGCATGTTCTTAGGCACTGTAGAGAGTGTGTGCATGCATATCTAAAATAATTCCTGCTAGCAACTTGTTTGCAGTATTTCAACTGTAGAGAAAGAGAGGAATTGCCAAAAGAAGCTGTGAAAAGTCAGAAAGAGAACGTTACAGGGCTGGGAAGTACAATAAAAATAACCATTTACTGTGTTTCTTTTTTCCTCTAGGGCCATGTAAATGAAAGGTTCAGGTTTACCACGTTTTACATCTACTTTGCTTTGATAATCATTGAGTTGATCCTTTCATGTTTTAAAGAAAAGCCTCCATTTTTTTCCCCTGTTAATACAGATCCTGTAAGTATTTTTACTTTGCTTTATTTGCATTTTACAGATTATATCATGTTTTCAGAGTTCCCCTGAGAATACTTGTCATTGAAAGCAGCTTTGGGTTGTCATTGGAATTGCAGTAGCTAGTGACCCCCTCACAAAACACTGGGTATGGAGAGTGATATTGGGGTTTGAAGCCTTTTTCCATTATATGTGCCATCACTAATGGCTGGAAGCTATGCAGCTCTCCTACTTGCTGCTTCACAGCAGTTTAAATTATATTTATGAATGTTCAAGTGTAACATTAATTATTTCAAGAGTGGTTTTTTTGGAGATGGCAGTCCACTTGCTTAACATTCATTTGGAGTTAGCGGAAGTCTATAAGGGTTGTCTTAATAAACGAGTTCTATATGTGTTGAGAATAGATATGGGAAAACATTAATAACAGGAGATATTAGTGGTGTCACGGGTTAAATTTCTTCTCCAATTCATGAAATGGTCTCTATAATTGGATCTATGTTTGAACTGAGCTGAGAGAGGAGTTGAGTTCATTTCTTAAAATGAACATTTCGGAAACTATAGAATGACAGTTCACTTTATGTAAGTGTGATTTAAAGGCAGTATATGAAGCAAGTTTAAAAGATAAAAGGAGTTCTGTATGACATGGGAAATGAAAGAAATCAATTTTATGTCTCGTTAGGACGTAGGTACATACATGTAATATACCATAAAATATACCAAACTGATCAAAATAGACGCTCATCTTGTTACAGAAGTCGTAAATGTCTTGCTTTATTTATTTTATTTTTTCCCCCATAACTTTGCCATAGAATCCATGCCCAGAGTTAACTTCAGGCTTCCTGTCAAGATTGACATTTTGGTGGTTTACAAGGTGAGCTTCTCTTCTCAAGCTGTCGGACAGCTGACAGCCCCAAACTCTATTTGTGGTATGTGTTGTACAGAGTCAGCAATGCAGAGTTTTTTCCTCTGTAAGTAGTTGTTGTTGGATATTCTTCATCCACAGTTGTGGCATGACTAATATATAATAATATTTTAATATAATAATATGTTA